TCGTGGAGAGAGAAAGCGACGTGAGAGGAGAGAGAATGACGAGAATTTAGGTTTGCTAATTTTAGGGGTGGGGTGGGTGTATATAATTTAATTTTCATACTATTTTTATTAATATTTATTTAAATAGAAAAAAATATGTATCTATATATTTAAATATCTGATTTTTGAACATTAACATATGAAATCTGATTTTTGAACTTGGATCTTAAAAAGTAGGGCTCCATGTAATTTCCACTTTATAAAATACTATCGAGTTCACTTGGCGAAAGTGTCCATACAAAGTCAAAATCAAGTGTAGGGACTGCGAAATTCTACTAAGTTCTTAAATTTAAAAATTACCTAGAAACATTATTGGATTTCGAGTAACACATTTGTGCATTTCATTGAATGCAATTGATGAGGAATTCTACGGGTTGACATTATTTCCGATTTTCTCCTCTCCGCTTCTTCAAACATGCTCCAAGAAATACTTTGAAAAATCATGGGTACCTAAACTGTCTAACACCAAAATTTGAATTTACGGAAGGAAAGAAAAAAGTAAAATATGGCTTAACCACCAATTCTATTTATGTTACAACGGTTAATTTATTCCCGAGCCTTGTACAAAATGTCTGTCACTATATGATAGATAGCTATGATGCTTGGTGTTGGCATTCGTGGGGTTCCCATTGCATTGCACCCCGTTCGGAGAATCACATCTCCGCCTCACCTCACCTCACCCTTATTTCCAGTCTTAACATTGAAAACACACCTTCTCCATCACACGAGAAAATGCATAAAAAAAAAAATACTGCCTGATTTGCTGCATATAGGCCCACAAATGGCTTTGTTATAAGCAGTGTTCTAAAAAACTCATCTAGACGATGCCTAGGCTTGAATCTTGGGCAAAACTCTCCACTTTGCTCCTTGCCGCCTTTTTTTTTTTTCAATTTCTAAACGACTGAATTTTTTCCTTCCCCTCTTTCGCCTTCCCTAGGCGTGCTTTATTAATTTTTTTTTATTTTTTTTCCTTTTTTTGTGAGTCTTTTATTTGACTTTAGTTATTAAATTTTTAATTTTAAAAAAACTTTTTATTTGAATTTAATTTTAAGTTTTTAAAAACTTTATCGGTACAAAAGTTAAAAATGATTTTATTTGATAAAGAGTTAAATAATATTTAAGATATGATGCAATCTGCATTATGTAATTGCGATCTTCAGATTCATTATTTTGTTGAAAACTTTAAAAGTATGGATGAAATTCCTATAAATCTATTAAGTAGGAATTGTCTAGTTGAAAATTGAAACTACGAAAAATAGTCTAGTTTTTGAATTTCGAAAACTTGAAAATTGTATAATTGAATAATTGTACGAATTATTAAATAAATATAGTATTTAATAATTTTAGATGTATGATATGTATTATTTTAATTATTAAATGATTTTTAAAATGATTAAAATTTTAAAATAAAATTAAAAATAAGAAACACTTAAACCTCGTCTAGGCTCACTTATATTCGTAAAACTTGAAGTTTCGTCTCCAAGTCTAGTCAAGCTTTTTAGAACACTGGTTCTAGGATCCAAAGTCATAGCTCCGAAGCAAGTAGTCCTAAACCCCTACGCAAATTCACATAGTACATGTTATCAATTTTTCTTGGTGTTATTGCATCATTAAAGGCTGCTACTGATGAATCCCTCGTATAATTTGTGCACAATTTATGCAGTCCTTCTGCATATTGAGGATTCATTGATGGATCGATCTGTGAAGTTTTGCTAAAACTAAATATTTCGTAGCTAAATTCTTAGTAGTGTGAAAAACCAATGGTGTGTGTTAGATAATGCAACCGTTTCTTGAATGTTAAGCCCCTTTTCGGCAAAAATGTTGATTATTTCTGTCATTGACATGTTCGCTTTTACACTATGGCCTTCTACATCTGTCGATTTCAATTCCTAGCTGTCTTTCTGGCCTAGTCGAATTGGACAAAATGGGCTGCCAACCATTGATAAGTGCATTTTTACACACTTATTTATGGCCACGGACATGGATAATTGTTAATAAATATGTGGAATATAACTTAATTCGATGTAATTTGTGTTTTGTAGGACAATAATGATGAATATGACGAAAATTAGGAAAAACAAACGAAAAAGTAATATGAATCAACGTCCAAAGTTTGAGAACCAAATTGCAAATTCAATAGTTGATTCAGACAACAAGATGATACTTTGAAGATTGAGAGGAGACAATTGGATGGAATTAAAACTCAAAAAGGAATGGAATATGATCAAAATATTATCACTATCAATGTCAAATCGCACAAGTTATATTCCAGATTTTTAGTCGAATATTGATACCCATTTTTGGCACTGTAAACGTCCGAATTGAAAAAATTATATTTCAAGAAACGATTTAGCCCTTTTATCCAGCTTTCCAACGCACTTTGAATCGTACCAATCGGATATCGGAAGAGGAATTTATGGCCACAATACTGACTATTGTGCAGAAACAAAAAATCTACGCGCGAATGAAATATTTCTTATTCGATTGAAACTCTTTTGGAAATCAAATTGGACGTGATTTTCAACCAATTTTTGACTTCTACAAAATATATAAGAGCAAAATACATGAAGGGAGGGGAAAAGACTTTGGAGAGAAGAAAAGAGGCAAAAACGCGAAGATCAACTCAAAGAACACGAAGATCCAATTCAAGAATCAAATTGTGATGTCATTCTTTATTTATTTTTCTGATTTTCTTCTTCTCACCATGCTAGGTTAGATTAATTATGTACTAGGTGAACGATGAACCTCGCATTGTGATCTTTTAATTTCTATTTTGCAATTTGATATTTAAACACGTTTGATGGATCTTGAATGATTTGTATACACTTTCTTGCCTCCATAATTATAGTGCACGATAACTGTGTGAGTTTGGGTGGTTTATTTTATGCATTCGAAAGAAGGGAAATAAACTCAACAAGGTATAAATCATTGTAGGGTTTATAGAGATAGAAATATACCGCTATACTTTACGTGAATCTCTAAGTGTTTACAAAACGTCATGCATTCTTGTATATTGCGGTTGTCAAAGAAATATAGTCAAATGGTATGCTAGAATAAGTTCAATTCTACTTGAAAGAGATTGTTGGATAAGTTAGAAACATTGATTCTTCAACCAATTCATCGTGTTATCAAATTGTGAAATATGAGTTAAAAGGGAACTTTGCTTGGTGATTCGGGATCCTAGTGCGCCTTTTTATACATTAATTCCATTCAAATCTTTTGCATTGAAACGTCATTTTTGCATTTAAGTCGTAATTCTAGTTTAATTTGCATGCTAGTTTTAGTTTAATCATAGAAACTGAAAAACTCATCTCAAATTTAATAGATTCG